AAGGACCTTCCTTTACCCACTGAGTCATCTCACTAGCCCTCATTTAATTTTTAAAAACATCCTCTCAGGCCAGTGAGATGGCTCAGCAGGTAAGGGTACTTGTTGCCAAGATGATGGCCTAAGTTCAATACCTGGGACCCCACAGGACGGAAGAAGAAAAACTGACTCTGTAAACTTGTCCCTGATCTCCACACGTGTCATGACATATTCCACACCCTCTAAATAAGTATTTAAAAATAGACAATAAAAATTCTCTCAAGCCTACACCAAGGCAGCTATGGTCTTTGTCCAGGTTCCAGGTGTACCCCGCTGCCTTCTGTGCACCCCCCACCATCTCCTCAGGCAGAAGCCGAGTTCTCTGGGCCCTGCAAGTCTTACTTTGGCTTCTTGTTTGCACTGTATGAGTTTGCTCAGGCTATGAGGGAAGACTCTGCCGTACTCTACTCTCTACTCTCTTTGGCTCAAGGAACCTGAGTTTCCAGGTTCACAGGGTAGTCTCCGTGTGTGTGTGTGTGTGTGTGTGTGTCTAGCTTTTCCCTTGAAAGGACTCTCTCTGGTTGTATTAGGTTGAGGCTTATTCCAGTGAAGTCCAATGACTTCATTTTAATTTGAGTACCTCTAAGGGGAAAAAGTAATTCCTCTGAATAAGGCTACACTGTGAGGTACTAGGGAACAAGACTTTAGCATATGAATCTTGGGATAGCAGTTCAAGCCACAACACATAATGAATTTAGTCTCAGAGCTATAAATTCATATAGTCATTCATGTCTCAATTATGAACTGAGTGGCTATTAGGAAATCCGCCGGGTCCTTGGAGAGCCCACATCTTTGGTCAGCCAGTATCCCAGTGTCTTTGCTGGGGAAATCCACTTGACGGTGCCTCTTACTCACCTGCTTTCCCTGAATTGATGACCTGGCTATCTGCAGCGCTCACTTCTAAGCTCTCTGTTCTAAGCCTAAATGGTCTTTGTCATAAAAGATGGTCTCCTTTCTTATCAACACTTTTAGGTCTGCCATAGACCTCTGTCCATGCTCAGTTCACAGCATCTATGACATGGTATTGCACCTGGTTTGGTTTTTGTTTTCTTTGAGACAGGGTCTAACCATGTAGCCCTGGCTAGCATGACAGTCACTATATAGCCCAGGCTGGCCTTGAACGGACAGCAGCAATTCTCCTGTCTTTTCTTCCCAGGTTCTCAGATTACAGGCATGTTTTACCATTCCTGTCTGTATTAGAGCTGATTATACACTTAAGTGTTCTCTAGCTTGATGCTAAGGTCTCTGAGGACAAATAGCCTACAGTATTCAGTGTCTATTGCCTACAAAATGTATAGTGCCTGATACATAGGAAGTATTTAACAGCTGTGTAATGAATGACCAAAGCAGAACTTTGGGGTATTTAACTTAGCAAGACTTGAAAGGTAAAACTGGAAAGAGGAACATTCAGAGAAAGCTGTTATTAAAATCCAGAAATGAAGTAACAAAGGCCCGAAACAAGGGAGTGGAGATGGCAAGAAAAGGCAAGCTGCAGAAATGTGAATGGGTGGCTTACAGGCATAGAACACAAATGGTGGGAATTACGAAGATTAAGACGGTTTTGAGGATACAGGCTTACCAGTGCAGTGATAGCACTGACCCAAACAGAAAGGTGTATTAGGTTAACACCTGCTGTTGTTAACAGTAAGCATCCATTTAAGTGACTTACAGTGGACTTTCCTTTATGGTGATGGCATGGATATGGATGGGCAGGTCAGTGCTCTTCCAAGGAGTGATACAGAGACCACAGCATCTTCCTGAACAGGCCTCCAAGAGCATCTGCTTGACATGCATCACCATGCAGGATTTCCACGGCTAGGAAGCGGTGAGTAACACTTGGAGGTTTCTATCTATAATGTGAATTATTTAACATTTGAGGGAAATATTAACTTGGGAGCTTTTAAATTTATCTTCAAACTACTGGGGTTACATTGTTAATATAAATACCACTTTTGCTAAAACTCTATTAGCTAGATTTTGGACAGATAACCCAGCTACCTTCAAGGGAAGCTGGGAAACATAGCCTAGTTGGGTACTAGAAAAGAATATGTGTTTGTTAACATTGTTTCAGGGGGAGAAGTGTATTCCGTTTGCAGGGACTGTTTTGGTTTTTGAGATGGGGTCTTCTTAAATAGCTTGGGCGAGCTCTGAGTTCACTATGTAGCCTGGATTGGTCTTAAACCTGAGGTCTTCTTTCCTCAGCGTTGGCTTTTCATGCTCCAGATAGTGCATCAATGTGTATAGTCTGGGGTTGTTCTTAACTTCTAGTTACAAAAGAATAGATCATACTGGTTCTTGCAAAACAACTGAGAAAGTTGAACCACTGGGAAAAACTTCACCCAGGCCTACTCTACTCTTATACACACTTGTACTCTTAGTACTTGAGAGGCTGTGGCAAGAGGATCATGAATTCAGTAACATCCTGGGCTATACAGTGAGTTTCAGGCCACCCTGGACTCCATAGCAAGAACACGCTATCTACATAATAATACTAACAGCAACAACAACTGCTTGAATTTCTTTAAATTTAATAATCATGCTACATTAGAAAAATCTCAATTTAAGTATAATAAGTATTTTCCTGGGTACAAAATATCTTTAGTACCCAAACCAAAAAATAATCTATCATTCATTAGTAGAATGGGAAGCTACAAAAAAATTTCTCATATGGTTAGAGATATTTACAAGTTCAGTTAAAAATTTTTTTCATAATGGAATCAGAACCCAAAGACTAGACCATGCTAAGACAATTGCTTAACCACTGAGCTTTATCTCCAGGCCCTTGTTAAAATCTTTATTGGCCTTACAATTCAGTTTTTAAAGGTTAATACTTATAAAAAATAAACTCTAAACCTGGTATCTTGTTGGCAAAAGGCTTGGGTATATGTTTATAGCACGTTTTTATAAATGTGGGTCTCTTGCCTTTTCCCCCCAAGTACACTTATTACATTGTAGCCTAAATTCTGTCTCTCTTAGCTATTATGGGATAAGTTTGTAGACACATTCACAGCACCAGTTATGTCCTGAGGCCAAACAAAAAAGATCAGCTAACTTGCTTTGGGTCCCTTAGGTAATTTACTCAGGTCCCATTAAATGACATCAAAGTCAAGCTAAAGAGAAAAAAAAAAAAAAAAAAAAACACCAACAATATAAACTCCAGTAGTTGGAGGTAAATTAAAAAGCTCCCAAATCAGTACTTTCCTCAAATGTTAAATAATTCACTGTGGTGTTACAGACACAAGCCTCTAGCAAAAGTTACACTTGAATAATTAAGGAAGCAGGAGACAAACAAATTGCCTTCAGTGGTACAGAAACAAATTGGTGGCTTCTCATACTCCTGTGCCCAATTACTCTTTTATATTATCAAGTGTGTAAAATACCCAGCGACTGATGAATTACTAGATCAAGTTTGATTATAGAAAATGGCCTGGAATTATATGTTAGGATTATTTCTAAACATAATTGAGATTGTACATGTTCAAGTTTAAAACTCACTTAGGTTATTTGAAAAGCTTTCTGGTAATTTTTTGGAGGGGGGGGCAGAGGGGAACCAGGGTCTCATTCTTTAGCTCAGGTAGGCCTCAAGTGTGATCTTCCAAGTGTTGGGTATACAGGCATGTGTTCTCGTGCACAGCTTTATCTGGGAAGCTTTTATGTGGCTGAGTGCACTTACTCTCTTACAAATTTCTACTCAGGTTGCTTAGATACCATATGGCAAGGATGAACCATACAGTTACTTCAGAGAGGGTGATAAAAAAGTAGAAACCTGAGCAAATATCATGGGGTACCACATACACACAGACAAGGGCCTCTGAGTTACAGAACCCCTACCTATCTAGAATAAAAACGGGATTTCAATCCACCTTTGTCACCTCCTATCCAGGAGATTTTTTGATAAATCTTAGCTTCTGGAGTGGTTATCGCTTCTGTAACATGGGAATGATTCACTTGTGAACATCTGCAATGAACGAAGTGGTGTGTTTAAATGGCTATGAGAAATAATGAAATATAGCTGATGTATCTTATACATGGCCAGGCTCAAAGTGAGGAAGCTGCAATTCAGTGGGACTCCCAACAGGATGGAGATGGGTGACATTTGCTTGTCACTACCAGTGAGTTGCTAATAATAATTTTAAAGCTTTGTGTATTTGCTCTCATAATTGGAGCTAACGTTGCTCACGAGTTTTCTATAAACTTTTCTAACAGAGGTGGTTTGGAGAAAGTACATATACATCTAGGTAGATTTTCATTTGCAAGCTTCTGAAGACATTCTCACAGGAGGATCTGGGGGACACACCAATTTAATATCTAGAGTAATGCACAGGAGAAATAAACTATTTGAAAGAGAAAAGATAGGTAGATGATGAGATTTGGAGAGAAGTGACCTAGAGTCTGAACTTTCTGCATTTGTTGCAGTGACATGAAAATATCAGGATATTTTGATTTGTTTTCTCAGGAGTAAAGTGAGGATGACAACTCTTCTGGCAGCATTTGGAGAATCAGATGGCAACTCACAAATAATTAGTGACCTAACAGCATAAAACAGATATAAATCAACTCAGGAATGAGACTGATCCTAGTAGACCCCTTCCAATGAAGATACTTAGGTCTACCAAACGATGCTGGCTACAGTGCACACAGCGATCAGAGTACAGATCAGAGGATGGCTTTGGAGTTGGCTCTCTCCTTCCACCTTATAGGTCCTTGGGTAGGAAACTTAGGCCATTGGGCTTATCAACAGGAACTTTTACTCCTGAATCACCTCAGGGACTAAAACTATTTTTAGAAGTGTTTGTGTGTATATGTGTATATGTAATGTATATGTATAAACACATATAACTGGCTTTAAATACATATAAAACATGAATAGTATACATATAGAATTTTTATCTGACTTAGGATCAGCAATGACTAGGGGATGAACAGTGTCTCCACAATCTAGAGAGAAACTCCGGTAGACTTACCTTGGGTATATCCCACTGACCATGTTGTAGTTCTCACATGAAGAGTTCCCAGTGCTGGGCCCTGCTGCTTTAGAAATGAGCAGCACCACCAGGCCCCGGAGCTGAAGGTTATGCCGGCTGTCATGCACAAGGCCCCTGTTGACAAAGAAAAGAGCGTTGGCATACTCTCCTAAGACTGGGCAGACTGAGCTACAAGATGGCTACAACAATGCTCAAATTTTTACACAGAGCAAGGGGACTTTTTTTTTTTTTTAAAAAAAAAAAAGGAAAATAAAGAGAATTAAAGGAGGAAAGAATAATGTGCAGAAGCAACAAGTTCTGAAGATAGCTAGAGAACATAACATAGTTTTTCAAGGTAACACTTTCTGCGACTCTGGCAACATGGCTCCCTTCTCTTTCTGGTTCCTTCCACTGGCTAACACGTAACTTGAACTCTTTCATTTTTATTACTGGTACCAGGTTGGAATCCATGGCTTTCCACATGTTCAATAAGCTCTCTCCCACCATGCTGCACTCCAAGCTATCCTTCACAATCATAATTTGCCCTGATACCAAAAGGATGCTACAGCTTAAACTTCTTTGCAATAAACTGACTATTAAGTCAAACTACCACAGTGGTTCCAGGGCCAGAAGGGTGGCCTATGCTTGGCATATTCTTTTTGTCATTCACCAGTTGTACAACTCAGAGCCTATTAACTATCTGTTTCATAAAACAAGAGCAATATCGTGTACTTTCTAGTCACTGAATGGATGGGCACATGTGGAATGCCATGGCAGCAGATGGCAGGAAGCTTTTCATAAGCTATCTTCTTCTTGTTGTTTTGGCAACCTATTTTTTCTCAATCTCTTACACTTCTTTCCCCTACTTTTGATTCCCAGGTCTCAACAAGTCTTCCCCACTCTTACAGTAAGCATGATCACCATAATTTTTTCTTCACCAAGTAGTAGATCCCCAGTGGAATCCCACCCCAGTGTTATCTCATTGAAACATCTGCCTCTTTTAGAAGTGAAGGATGAGAAAAAGAATATGAAATAGGCTGGTTGGCAAAACAAGAGAATGTTCCAAAAAGCACAGCTTCTGACTTTTAGTCATACAAGGCTAGAGTTAACAACCTACAGGCAGATGAACAGTTTGAGCAAATTAACTGTTTCTCAAACACAGTCTCTTGAACTCCACTAATGTCCTTAAAAACAGCACTGGGATAAACTGATATGATAACAGTCCAGAGCTTAATATTCACTCACAACGAAAAGAAGACATCTTCTTGCTTCTGGGCATGAGAACTTTGTGATCTCAGATGGACACTGCTAATCTTACATGTTATAATCCAGGTCACAGCTGGGGCACTTTGACCTTAGTCCTCTCCTAAGGAGGTGTACTGGTCAGTGGAACCATATCCAGAGGCTGGCAAAATCACAGAGAGACTGCATAAGTCTTGGCTGTTGAAGCATTTCTACTTCAGATTAGGAATCCACAAACAGCTTAGAGACCACACAAATACTCCCAAACCTGAAAAACCCTCAAGTCGGAATCATTTCTGGCCCCAAGCATTTTGATAGATGATCTTCAACCTGCACTGACACATGCGTGGTTGTTAGGCAGAAGAATGATGGTGTTGGTATTCTCAATTTTATTCAGTCAAAAACTCAGTGAACAGTAATTTATGTTCAACGCTAGTGAGATTTGGTCTTTCTTTGTATAAATAACACTTTGGATTAAAAACATAAGTCAAATATGGTATAAACTGCTTTAGTGAATGAACGAGGGCTGTGAGAACCCAGACGCATACTGAGGAGGTGGATACACAACTTCCGGGAGCTCAAAAAGAACGCCAGGAGAACTAATGAGTCAGGAGGAGCTGCGCTGGAGCACATGTGAGGAGAGTGTCCCGGAGAGACGCGAGGGCTGTGGAGGGGAAGCGGAGAGCAGGAACAGTCTGAGAGGAGAGCAGCTGAGAGAGGTTGCTAAGAGAAACGTGCTGCTCATAGGACAGGCCTCCACAGTGGGAGGGAGAGGCCGGCACACGTTAAGACTGACAATAAGAGGTGCAGTATCAGCAGGCCAAATGGTTTTCCTGGAACAGAAAACCAGAGTAGCCTCTGCTCATGCTTTGCCCTTGCTGTTGGAAATGACTAAGTGGTGATACAGACTCTGCCACACTCCACAGACATCCGGGAGTTTTCCTTGTTCTGTGATTCTGACTAATTTCATTTTACTCTATTATTTGATACCCTGCAACAAGTGTAGCACATATGAAAGTGAGAAGCCCTCACTGTTATCAGGGTTGGAAGTGAAAGCAATGCTCAGCATTGTCTAACTCTTCCTCACTAAAACTCCACAGAACTGTCTACGTTTGGTTGACGTAAGCAAGTTTCATCACTCACATACATATCCGTTCACCTCGTGACCTCTGAGGCCTTCCACACACAGGCACTATGCTAGTACAGGTGCAACAGCCAGTAAGACCAGTCACGGGGCTGAGGACCTAGCAGATGAAATGGACATAACCACTGACAGAGTAAAACCGCAATCGTAATGTTTCCAGGGACAACGAGAGAAAGAACACCATAAGAAGTCGTAACAGAATTCACTACAACGGGAAAGCCAGGGGCTTCCTCAAGGAAGTACTGATGGAGCTGACGTCCAAAGGAAGAACAGACATAAAAGGAGTGCGAGAGGAGAAGGGGAGGAAGACTGTGTTCACAGCACAAGAATGACCGACAGGTGTGCAGGGACTAGTCCATACAGGCTGAACATTCTATGGCAAGAGGGTTACTCTTTATCCAGCAGGCAATGGGAGGTACTACAGCATTTTTTTTTTTTCAAAGCAAATGAAATGAAACAAAGCAAAAGTCTATCCTTGTAGAAAAATGACGGGGTGGTGGCGGGGAAGGCATGTAACCAAATGGTGTACGCCACCTGGAGAGGTGACTTTTGTGATACTCGTCAAGAATTATGGGGCTTAATGCACATCTAGGGATGAGTTAAACCTAATATAACATTTTAATTCGATTCAAGTAAAATCTGCACTTTTTACAGACCTGAAAAAAATCACTTAATACGAATATATATAACTAATTTAAAATCCTATTAATTCTAAAAAGCCTATAAATTATATTTGGATGTAAAACCAAACGAAATCAGAAAACAACAAGAAACCCAACCCATTCTGAAGTCCAGGCTGACCTAAAGTTCATTGTATAGCCCAAGCTGGCTTTGATCTTGAGGCAATTCTGCTGCCTCTGTTATACAAGTGTTAGAATTACAGGTGTGAGCTACCATGCCCAGCTTGGTTGAAAGCTTCGTCTCTCCTAAAATTCTAGTGTAGATTCCACAGTGATGACTAAGCCACCCAAGGGGCTGAATCCTAGTGGGTAGGCTGAGCAGATGAGGCCTTGGGCAGGTAGACACACACGTTAGAGGGCTGGCTCAGCTCTGCTGCACCATCACATCTCTCCAAAATGATTGACACACTTCTCTTCCTTAATTCAATCCTCTACCTCAAGCTCTCAAATCACTGCTGTGACACTTTTTAAAAACACAACCTGTTAAGTTCTGTTTTAATCCAAATATGTCAAGATGGAGGGCCATACAAAGAAATAGGAGCTGTAAGAAAGCAGCCATTATGGGAAGCTCATTATCCACTTGACTATAGACTCAAAACTGTAAAGAACAGAGAACAAAAGCAGCAGAATAACACATAACAGTGCACAGAGACAGCTTCTTGCTTGAGGTGGCCCTCACTCCTCAGACCAAAAGATGGTCAAATTTCCTTGAGTGGTGAATGGGAGATCAGGGAAGTGGGACTGTTATTATAGTAAGGAAAAGGAGAAGCTGTGATACCAAGGGGAGTGGGGGCAGGTCCAGAAAAGCTGTGGGCTATCCCTTTAGGTATAATATTCACGTAAACAAGCAGAGTAAAACAGACAGCCAAAGGATGAAGTGCCTTGGGACTCAGGTGTACTCTGGACTTCTGCAAGCAATCTGGGTGCTTGGGCAATCTGTCAGTAAGATAATGCAATCAGCGCTAAAGACTAAAACTCTTCCCTGGGCCTAATACCATGGTGATGACTTATTGGGTGCAGAGGAAATGAGAGGGAAGACCACTAAGGGGACACCTCACATAGTAGCCCGGGGAGAGATAATGAGGGCTTCAATTAAAGCAGTGGCAATAAGGACAAAGAAAAGCTGAAAGATGGCAGCAGCATGGAGGTAGCAATGGGTAGTAGGGTCATTGACTAAAAGAGGGAGACACCGGGTGGAAAGAGCAGAAGAAAGGAAAGGCACTGGTGAAGTTAAGGGTCAAACATTTTGTTAAAGGTAATGATGCTATACTTAGTAGAGATTGAAAATAAATCTTATAGGGAATTGATGAGTTCAGTTTTTGACATGTTAATTTTGAATGCAAGGAGAAGTTCCAAATAGAGACGACTCAGTGGGAAGTTGGAAATGCTGTGGGTATGAATTTAGCAGGCTTCTTCATGGAAGTGATGCTGAAACAGGGAAAACTGAGGGATGAAGGTGTTTGGGGGAAAGAGAAGACAAGAGAAAGAAAAACATGACAGAAAGAGCTCTACATAACCCATATTCTGGCTGTCCTGGAATACAGTATGTAGACCAGGCTGGCCTCTATCTCAGATATCTACCTGTCTCTGCCTCTAGAGCTCCATATTCGAAATTCTAACACATAGGAGAATTGAAAATTTATTGGAAGCCCAGGCTACATAGTGAGTTTAAGGCCAGTCTGCCAGCAAGACTCTGTCTCAAAAAACGAACGAACGAACGAACGAACGAACGAACGAACTAACTAACTAACTAACTAACTAACTAACTAACTACATACATATATGGAAATGAAATCTTGGGAATTCCTAGGTTTAGGGGACTTAGAAAGAATTAGTAATCAATATTACCCACAAATAAAAAGAGTCTCCAAGACATAGATAAAGAAATATATACACACTAATGGTGGGAAGAGAGGACTGCAATCGTGCAGTATAAAGAAACTAAGGCCAAACTGTACTGTACTGGCTAGTTTTCTGTCAACTCAACAAGAGCTGCAGTCATTTCAGGAAGAGGAAACCTCAATTAAACAAAAACAAAAACAACAAACAAACAAACAAACAAAATGGGC